TATTATTTGATTCCATCCAAACAGTGCCTCTGCTATTATATCACTAAGGCATTCAAGCAGTGCCTATATTATTCCTTGACTGGCTGAAGTTACTTGGCCTTGGGCCTTGCCTCTTCTACTATATTGCCACCTCCAGAGAAGAAGTTTGAGATTCTAAGCTAGCGTCTGCAAGAAGAACTTGGGCTGTATCCAGATGAGCATGGCCATGCGGTATGTGTGCTGCAGACATGTCTGTGGCGCCACATACTGCACATTCAGTTGTCCTCTGCACTGCAAGGCAGCATGCAGAGGGTTGACTCATTCAGGGGTCAAAAAAACGGGGGGGGGAGGAAAAAAAAAGCAGAGCAGCACATGCCATTCAACCTGTGCCTGGCCAGCCAGAACCACACTCCACTGCCGGCCAAGCTCTGTGTGGCAGGATTGCTGCTGCTGCAGCCCTGGGAGGGCCCCAGGACCCTAGGTAAGCACTGGGCTGGCCCCAGCCTTCTCTACTCCACCCAGGGTAACTTGCTGCATGCCACAGTATGTGTGGCATGGACATTTCCTGGGGACAACTAGCGGCGGCACAAGGTGGTCCCCAGGGAACCAAACATCCATACGCACCTGGACATGGCGTATAGATTTCTAGGGTTGGAAGAGACCTGGTAGATCACTGAGTCTGACCCCCTGCTCCAGGCAGGAAAGAGTGCTGGGGTTAAGTAAACCCAGCCAGATGCCTGTCTAATCTCTTCTTGAACACCTCCAAGGTAGGGGAAAGCACCGCCTCTCTTGAAAGCCCATTCCATATTTTGGCAACCCTTACCGTAATTAATGTCTTCCGTGTGTCCAATCTAAATCTATTCTCCTTCAGTTTGTGGCCATTATTTCTGGTAACCCCAAGGGGTGCCCTGGTAAACAGAGTGTCCCCTATTCCCTGCTGACTGCCCCCAATGAGTTTGTAGGCAACCACAAGATCGCCTCTCAGCCTTCTCTTCTCTTGCCTAGGAGTCTTTCTATGCATATCTAGCATCTCAAAAGGTTCCACAGCTAGATATTAACTGTTATGCAAAGGGCCTTTAAAAATGATGCAACTCCTGCAAGCTTGGAAGATCTTTCAGTCGTTAACAAAGTTTCCAGGTTCATTAATTGAGTGTGGCACGATATTCCCTTAATGTCTTTTCCTAGGTTACTTGTCATCTTTAAGGACAGGAAATGATTTTACTAGAGTAGTTTTCCTGATTTTAGGAGCCCAATGATATTTGAACAGAATAAAAAATTAAAAACTTATTTGGAATATACTTGAGAATTCTTGCCTTCCCACATTTTAATGGAATCAGCATGGGAGATATTCATCCTAAATGATCCTACTCTTATTGTTTATTGATTTTGTAACATTTGATGTTGACACAATAGCCTTTTCTCTGTGTGAGGATTTTTGTTCTGTTTGTTGATACTCCTAGGTCCCAGTGGTGTGTGTTTTGTCTTGTTGTTTATACACATTTGATAAAAAAAATTGAAAATCTTTTTAATGAGCTACAAAAACTTCTTGGAATAATATTTGGTTTTAGAAAGCATCTTCCATACTGTTGAAACCAAAAAACCTTTCACATCACTGAACTGGATGCTGGCAATCCAGTGCCAACTTGTTCAATACAAGGCAGGATGGAATTGCACCTTTGTAGGCTAAATTGGAGGGACAGCTTTTCAATAGCAACTCTCAGCTTTAAATAATACAAGCTTTTAATTGTAACGTGTATCATCTGTGTCCAGACTAACTTGACTTTTTTCTGTGGCCCTTCAATGCCAGCAGTGCTAAGCCTTATCGGAGCATCTCAACAAAAGTTAACTTGGTACTTAAATAGAATCATGGAATAGGAGGACCAGAAGGGACCTGTAAGATCATCGAGTCTGGTCCCCTGCCATGGGCAGGAGGTAATTGGGTTCAAACAAGCTCCGCAAGGTGCTTGTCCAACCTCCTCTTGAACACCTCCAGGGATGGTGACTGCGCCACCTCTGAGATTCTAGGTACCCTTACAGAAAATAAGTTTTTCCTTAAATAGTTGCACATGTATCATTTACTCAGGATTGTCTATTATTAACAGCATAATTAATAAAGGCACAAATATCTGTCTCTCCAGAGAGAACCTGCTGTTATTTGCTCCTAGATTATCAGTGTATGGTGTAGCTACAATCTTCCTTTCTGATAACATATCACCACCAGTACCATTTAGGAGCTGAAAGCCACTTCTAGCATAATGGAAATTTCTACTTTCTCTAGGGTGACTCACTAATTAGTTAACCCCTGGGACACTCTGTCCAGGGTGTAGAAACTTCCTGTTCCAATTTTAAAACATACAGGAAGAAATTATAGCAAAAGAGAAAATGTGGGGTTTTAACTCCTTTTTATCCTTCTTGTAGGAAGCGTGTTGTCTAACAGTATAGATGAATGTTAAATGGTTGAAAAAATATCACCTAATAGATCCACTGAGAAGAACCAATTTCCTTCTTCCCTTGTAGTAGGAAAGCAGGTGGGGGGACTGTCTTATGCCCAGGTAGTGGTATTTAACACACGTGCTTTTAATGAGTGACAGGAGTATTTAAATACCAAATTACTTTGGAGTTTCACCATACCAGAAGAATGGGAAGTCATAGCAGGCATGGAGAAGCCAGTAGTGTAAAAGTACCTGAATATTTCTGATCATCAGCAAACCAAAGAATTGAGAAAGTAGGCATCTTTGGTGTGTACTGACAATCTTTAAAATTAAGTTATGAAGCCATGGTGCCTTGGGAAGGGAGAAGAAAACAGGCTTGGGTTAGGGCCATGGTCCTTCAGTCTGTATTCAGCTACTGGAGACTGGGAGGGACTTGGGACAGGAATTATCCTCCTTATCTCTGTTATGTCTTTGGGTGGTGCACATGACCGTTAGACATCTTGGAAAAGCTGGCTGTGGCTGAGTCAATTGTCAGGTTATAAAAAATGTGAATCCACTACCTGAAATGGTGACAACTTATCAGCAGAAGAACAAGTTGTCCCATGTAGCCTTATGAAGCTGCTATAAACCTCTTTGGATTCTCTCTCGCAGTGCATGCCTACAGCTACAGTTTGCAACTCCTGAGTTTAGATACTTTGTCCTTAGAGCTTTATAGAATCCTAGTAGTTTCACTGTCCAGAAGTTATTGCCACAAGGACTTTTCCCCCAAGCTTGTATGTAAGGTATCATTCTATGTAATTGTTGAAGGCCCACGTGCTGCTTTATCTCCAGGGTGACTTGTGGGAAGATCTTTCCTTAACTACTTCAGAGATTCATATCCATGTTGCTGTGACTTTTTTTTCCCCACTCCACCCCTGTGCATATGTTTAGACAATAAAATGTAGTTAGACCTGCTTGTTGCTTAACAATTGTCCTGTTACTAATCAAGTCTAGAAGTCTATCGTCTGGGGTTTGGCTTGGAGACAGAAGGTGGTTATAACACTGTGACAGACATTGGAATTCCCTACGTGGAAAACTCAGTGAGGAGGGAGCAATGAATATTCATTTGTACAAAGGGAAAAGCTGCTTATTTTCCAGGGAAAGTGGCTCCCTAGAAGTGAACAGCTCGCCTCCTGGGACTGTGAAGCAGGTGTAATATCTTAACCTTTTTTCCTTGGTTGGGAGAGGAGTTGCAGAAAAATGCTCCCCTTCATTCCAACCTTGGCTGCTTTAGTTCTGACTGGCTACAAAACGGAGTTTTTTAACAGGTAAAGGACTGCCTGTGTGTTAATGACCTTTCTGAGTACCAAAAGAGCTCTTAAAAAGAGACAATATGCAGTTGATGTTTTTCAACTTCAGTTTAAAATAAAGAGCTGTAGTAACCCAACAGCTGACAAAGTACAATGCTGTGAACAAATGCTTACCACATCATAAGTAGGAGGAGGGAGTTCTATGGCAGTAACTATACCACGTCTACAAACGTAATAGATACTCTAGAAAACATAAAATCAGAGCAAGCCCCTCCCTGGAAAAGCTTACAACCTACAGTGCATGCAGGGCAGGGAGGAATGGGGAGGGGACAGACAGGGTTGCATTAGTGAGATCATGGAGTGAGTAATTCAGTTCAGGTATATTGCTTGGTAAAGATTACGATGCAAATATCTTCTAGCTAATGCTATATAGGTTTCATGAGAGGTAAACTTTGTAGAGAATTGAACAAAGAGAGGGCAGTAGGTAGATTGTCAAGGGCTTTCCGTAGGGAAGGGGCAGCATGGGAAAAGCTGCCTGTGGGGTAGGGAAGAAGAAAATCCTGGCAACCCAAACAATATGCAATGGTTGCCTGTAGGAGTCTCGAAAAATAAAATGTTGTCACCCTCTTGCAAATGCCTGACTTGCCCTTGAAGATGGGTAGGGCATTGAGGACCAATAACATTTTGGTGGGGATGTAGATGTAAGATATACTTTGGAACATAGGACTGGGAGGGGCCTGCTTGGGCCATCCTTTACAAGGGCAGAGTACAACTAATCCCAAGGATTCCCCCAAACCTCCACTTCAAACTTGCACACACAACTACAAGGCACAAAGCCAGACCTACCAGAAATACCCTACCACACTAGCAAAAGCAGGAGAGATGAGGATGCTGCAGTTATTGCAGTGGCAGAGCATTGGGAGTATTTGGCTGGAATATACGCAGGATTCTAGGACGATGATCGTGTCCCTCACAATAGAGTGGCAACAGATATCTTTGCCAATCTGACATATGTGGGGACAAACTGTATTGTTTCCTTTCAAACTCTTGTGTAACCTGGTGTGCTTTTTCCAGCCAGTTGGATACCAGGAGAAAAGAAACTAATGAAAATTCAACTTTGGGCTCAACCTTTCTATTAGCTCTCCTAGGAAAGCCATTTTGGGCAAGGTGCCTGTTACCTGCCTAAGGAGACCTTTAAATTAGCTGTGGTGGCAGAGAGAAAAGAGCAGCTACCCAGCTGAATTGGCAGTAACCAGTACAGAGTGTTTGGAGGCTGTGTGGCACAGAAGGGAAATATGACAGTGCTCATTTGCTTCCAATAAAATAAGCTAATGTTTCATTGAAATATAAGTTGATGATCAAGATAGAATCCCATTGGAAAAGGAAGAAAACAATAGGAAAAAAAGAATGGAAAAAGCATGGAAGTGAAGAGGCATCACACAAGTCAATGAAGGATATTTTATTTAGACTTCTCCAGGGAAAATCCCCTCAAGTTGTACCTAAAAGGTGGCACCTGCTTATTGGTTACTCTAAGTAAGTTAGTAGGGCAGATATTTAAAATGTTCTGTGTTGCAGTAGCAAGAGACTTTTCTCCTCAACTTCTGAGGCCTTTGAGTAACGGCTTCCTTTTATCCAGTAGGTAAAGATTATCAGCAATCTTGGGCCTCCCTTCGTTCGTGGGGATTGAACATTTGGTTTCTGAATGCAGCCTGAGTCTGCAAAATATGAAGAGGAGATGCCTTCCCTGTTCTGGGCGTTGGATCCTGTCTTTTCCACATTTGCAAGACTCTACATTAAGGATATAAAGGAAATGAGAGAATCTAAGCAGGTTCCAGGTATGTATACGTGCCCAATTACCACAATATCCAGAGAAAAAATTGGCTTAATTAGTGTTGCTGTAGAACGGTTTGGACATTAAAAGTAGCAGTCTGGTGTATCTCTAAGGATCTCAAAGCATATGATAAAGGCTAATGGTATTTCCACGCCCCTGTGAAGCAGGTCATCCTTCCCAGTTTACAACCTGGAAAGTCTGAGAGACAAAAGTGAAATAACTTATCTTAGTTAATAAATAGTTTCAATTTCTAGCCCTGCTTTTAGGCTACCTTGATGTCCTCTTCATTGTTCCCTGTCACTTAAAGCAAGCTCTAAGATGAAGCTTATTTTGCAGTCTAGAAAACCTGCACTTCTCCATTTGTGTGTTTGGATCTAATCCATTCTAATTGTACAAATGTTGTTTCCTCTTGTTTTATCCTTGCTCTGTATCTTTTAACAGTATTTTTCCTTTTAAAAGATTTCTCACCTCTTCTGGCCAAATTAGGTAGTAAGAAATATTAAGCTTTTTTCTGTTTGATCTCTGAGTATCAATGAGGGATACTCCATGTATTTAGACAGCCTTGCAGTCTGTTCTAGTTCCTAGGCTGAATCTTGCACCACACCTTTTATTTCCTAGTCATTGTTGGTAATTGTATGCTTTGCTGTCCATTTCCTGCTGGATTCCTGCCAACATCTCTCACATACATACATTTTCTAAAGAGGTAAGGCTGACCTTGGGCTGCTGTTTTCACTAGGAAGAACTTAAATGGGCTGCTATTTCTTATATTGTGGTGGGGTTTATATACATCAAACTGAGACAGGCCAGGCAGGATGTAAAACTTTTGTGTGGGGATAGGAAGGAGATGAATAAAGGAAGGAAAAGACCCCTAAGGGAAGTGTGAGTTAATCAGGAAAACCAGCTAGTCCTCACTGGAATTTTCTGAGAGGGGCCAGATGCATCTGCTTAGCCCCTCGAATAAAAGAAGGTCCTTTGTTTGCTTTGCCTTGAAGCAAGACTCCAGGTTGTGGTTTTTATATGTACTTTTTCTTAACATCAGGGATATTGCTACTGTCTATCTGGAAAGCAAGACTAGCTTTGTTATGCTCCCCTGACAAGTAGTGTTTTTGTCTTCAGGGACTTCACGGCATATGCTAAGTTGAGTGCATTTATTTCTCTGAAAATAGTGTGGGTGCAAATAGGCAGATACTGTTAACATTTTGTATAAGAATGATTATGGTAGCACCTGTAGGAATGGGACCCTACTAGTGCTGTGCATATGCTTAATGAAAAGCAGCCCAAATAGTTTAATTGGTTATTTTTTAATCCTTTCTGTCTTTAAAAAAAAAAAGTGCAGAGACTGTTTAGTTTTTAATCCTTTCTGTCTTTAAAAAAAAAAAGGGCAGAGACTGATTAGCTGTTCCATGTATTTTCTTCCCTTAGCACAACGGACCTCAAGTTCAAGTTTAAGACTCCAGGTGCTACCACAATGCAAACAGTAATTAACAGTTCATAGGCAAAGAGTAAGAATTGTGAGCATCAGCAGCCATCTTCTCTTTGTTCTTATAATGGCCTAGACAGCTACAGCACATATCCCTTTCATCCTAAATATCACTCTCATGTATTTCTCATTTGGATAACTATATGACCTTTTACTGATGAGCAATCCCTTCTCTGCTTTAGGAAGATCTTCACTTTTTTGTCATTAATCATCTTTTATAAGATGTTCTTAAGGAAGCAGTGTCTGTCCATGCCAATCTGTCAGGCTTTCAAATTTGGAGCATGCAACTTTTACCTGTTTCCTGTGGAACTGTTATTTAAACACACAAAGCCTTTTGCTATCCTGTTTATTTTATCAGACTCTTCAGTTGATGTACAGATGAAAATTCATGGAACAGACAAAATCCTGACTCCTGTACCTTTCTCTTGGTGCAGCATGTGACCAAATGAAATGCCTTCCAGTATGTCTTCTTCAACTACAGCAAATCTGATTGTAATTGAAGCATGAACAAACAAGTGTCTTCTGATGACAGAGGATGGGGGAAGGAAGTATAGACTTGCCAAAAGTTTCTTTCTATTAATGGGTCTGCTAAAGACTAGATGATGCTAACTATGGAATGACTGAGATTATATGAAGAGTTATAACTAAGAGCAACCGGAGGAAATTAGGAAGTGTAAGCTAGCTATCAGGAGAAGCACTGTGACAGCAAAATTTGTTAGACTGTAGAACAGCATCCCAGGGCCAAGGATGAAATTCCCATTTCTCAGAGTATTTGTAACTGGACTATATAAATTGCTAGAGAATCTACTATATGAAATGATCCTGTGCTGGTCCCTGAGGAGACAAACTAAATGACCTAATAAGTCTTTTTCCATTTTTAACTGCTAAGATTCTGTAGAACAATGACTAATCCCTTAGAACAACGCCAGAGAAAATATGTAAGCCCAGCCAGTTCTTCCGCCTGCTGTAACTGATGACAAGAAAGCTGAAAAACCACCCAGATAAAAGTAGAAATTGGATTGCCCCAGAGGCCTTGAAATAAGAGTGGGTGTCAAACTCAACAGCAATACATAATTACAGCATGGAAATGAGCCTGTGTCTGAGAGTTGCTGTACGGCAAGTTAGATCACTGACATTGCATGGTGGAAGCAGCTTATCAACAAGGAAAGGAAGCTACAAAATAGCAAAGAAGTTGATTTTACTTGATTTTAGTAGTAGCAGCCATTAAAGATACCATACTTGGTACTGTTTAGTTTTTATAAAGATCAGAGCCTATCTGTGTCCAACCCATTAGAACTCTGCCAAGACTTCCTGCAAAATTAATTCTTGTCCAACTGAATTTATAATGTAGATGGTTATTGACTGAGACAATCCACGCACTTTACACAGGCCTGTGAGTGACTGGCAGTCGCTAATAGATGTTGATTGCTACCAGTCTGAGCCGAACTTGAAGCAATGAGCTAGAGCAGAAAGGCTCCTACCTAGGCTTCTAAGCCGGCTGTTAATAGTTTTTATTGAACAACATATAACAGTATTGCACCTTGCAAAGAACTGCATGTAAATGCTGCTTACATTTCAGTGAATGGGAGTTTCCTGTGTGTCAATATAAGGGTGGAGTGTCTGGGTTATATTCCTGGCTTTATTCATTAACTTGTCTGTCTCACATTTATGTTCATTTCACAGACAGATACCAGTGCACTGAGCACTGCCTGTGTGCTCTGAATTGTATAAGTAGGCAGCAAGACGCAGCCCACATCCTGCAAATTTATAGCAAAACCAAAATGAAATACCTGCCTCTCTTTCATGGGTTTTGTAAGGGTTAGTTAATGTTTATAAAGCGCCATGAGCAACTTGTAAGAGTTTCTGTAGGGCCATTACTTCTTATTTGATTACAATCAGAGAGAGAAGACAAAAGTGGACAGACTAGTTAAATGTTCCCCACTTTGGCCCTCAATTAGCCATGTGACAAATGCACCAAGCTCTAAAATGACAGCACTGGATACATCCTTGAAATATATGGTGACTGTTTAGCAGCAAAGCTCCCACATAAGAGCAGCATGGCTGAACACGTGTGTGAAACCTTGAAAACTTGTCTTGGTCTCTGTAATGTGAAGAAGTTAATTCCAGGCCCAGTTTGAGAATCCTGGCTATGTAGGGCAGATTCTTTTGGGACTTTCAGTTTTTATATTTTTCATATGGAATATTAACTGACTTCCTGACTACTTTCTGTATGCTGAAGTGCCCTTGCTTCCCCTGATAAGAGCAGGATTTGTCCGAGTGTCTTGATGCAAAGCTTTTGCTCTCCACTCCCTAGTTCTTTTCAAAGTGCTGCCTGTTAGTTGCCAGCTGTGTTGGAAGTGGCTGCATTTTGCTGGGGCTGCAGTTTTTCAGAATCAAAGAAAATGCATTCAATTAAAATTCCTCATCTATGGATTATCTTCTATCTCTTTGTAGTTTGTTGGTTTGCTAATCTTTGTGTGGTGTATTCTGTGGCTGTATGTGTGGTTTATCACCACCATTTTTTTACTTAGCCATTTTTATTTTTATTTTTCTGATGGAGGTAATAGTGATATGATGGTGGTTTTACTCTTTAAATGAGTGCTGATAGTTATGAAGCTTCTTTCTGTTTTGGCCATGTTTGGTGCTTAGGATTTGTATTCCAGTTCTATTTCACCGATGCACAGAAATAGTCTGGAATAATTCTGATATATCAATGCGATAGGGGGAGTGGTATCTTTTTCTTTTTTGTCCAGTGTTGTTTCTCAGTTAAAATGCCTATCATTAAAAGGGTTAGAAAGTTCCTAATTTAATTTCTTTTGTAGTTTTATACATTTCAGGATGTGAACTATAGTAGTTGGTAATTTGTCTTCATGGCTGCATCTCATGCTCCAGAGTCTTAAGATTTTGTTTGGTTGGTTCAGCCAGTCTCTGATCCTCTTGGTAGTGAATAGTTGTCCAAAGATGTTGGTTTTTTTACATTATGAAGGCTGTCTCAGCTACAATGTTCACAGTAGTACTGAAAGGGCGAACAACCTATATTTAGTTAAAAGAGTATTTGCTCTGAAGCTTAGTTAAGACTTGTGCTGCAGATGACAGCTTGCAAGGAAGGTCTCTGATTGAACTATGAGAGCGTGCACAGCGTACTACACCTGGCTTCAGAAGCAGGTGGGAAAAGTGAACGTTTCTTTTTTTTGATCCAGGGACTGTTTTTGATGCAAGTAAAACATTGGCTAATTTTAAAACTCCAGTTAAATGTCAGAGGATCGTCTTTCTACAGACCAAGTGCATAACTGGGGAAGGACTCTTGCAGTATTTGCTTATAGTTAACAGGAATTTTCTGTCTCTTTGCAGGCATATTCTTTTACAACGGACATCCAGTACGACAGGTTGATGTTCTTGGGACTGTGGTTCTAACAAAAGAGCGAGATGCTTTTTATAACTATGGAGGTAAGAAAAAATGTGTTTGTCTTTCTCCACTTCCTGGCCTCCAACCTTGGTACCCAACTGAATTTAAATATAATCTCATTGGACAGGGTTGCTCTTTGTCCTCAAGATATATAGTACACCTCTGAAATCTTGACACACTTTGCAAGAACAGGAAAGTTACCCACCTGCATTTTACTGGTGGGAAAACTGAGGAGAAGTAGCCAAGTATCTCACTTGAGGTCTCACAGCAAGTCTGGGTTCTATTCCTTGCATTTACAGTGGAGTCCAAATGCCCACTCTTACCTATATATGTAGCACTCTTGTTTCCTTTTTTTGTCAAGTGAAAATAGATCAGAAGATTTCTGTAAACTAGAAGTGATGTTTCCTTTCTGTGTCCTGAAACAGTAGGGATCCTTCATAATTTTCCCCTTGACTCCTGTGTCTTCAAAATTCTGGCCCTAAAG